CTCGTCTTCTCTCACCGTGGCCTCGGGAGTGAGACAGCTCTCATTACCTACTTGATCGTGTCTCTCCCCCTCTCACCACCCTTCCTCTACCCTCCCTCCCTCTGTTTCCTCTTCCTTTTGTTCTTCCGTCTCTTTATCTTCTTCTAGTTCCTCCACCTTCTCTTTCTCTTCCTCCTCCACTATCTCCACTATCATCATCATTGTCTTTATCATCATCACTACCACACCACCACTACCACTACCACCCCACAACCACCACTACCACATCATCACCACTACTACCACACCACCACCACCACTACCACATCATCACCACCACTACCACACCACCACCACTACCACACCATCAACACCACCACACCACCATCACAACTACCACACCATCACCACCACCACACCACACCACACCACCACCACCACACATCAACACTACCACACCACCACCACCACTACCACCCATCAACACTACCACACCACCATCACCACTACCACACCATCACCACTACCACCACCACCACCACTACCACACCATCAACACTACCACACCACCACCACCACTACCACACCATCACCACTACCACACCATCACCATTACCACACCACCACCACTATCAAGAGTGCTCACTTGGTTCAGCCATGTTAATATTGTTGTTATTGTTCAAGCTCATCTTTAATTATCTGGTTCAATAAACTGTTTCATTATCCGTTTCAATACCACCACCACTGCTACCACACCATCACCTTTACCACATCACCACCACTACCACACTATCAACACTACCACACCATCACCACCACCACTGCCACACCATCACCACTACCACACAATCACCACTACACCCCACAACCACCACTAATACCACCACCATCACCACCACCACTACCACATCACCAGCACCATTACCAAATAACCACATCTACTACCACACCACCACAACCACACTAGAACCAGCACCACTACCATACCACCACCACTACCACATCATCACTACCACCACCATTACTGCACCATCACCAATATTACCACACTACTACCACTACTACTATCACACCACCACCACGCCACCACCACCACACTATCACCGTGACCACCACCACCACACTATCACCACCACCACACTATCACCACCACCACCACCACACTATCACCGCTACTACTCCCACGCCACCACCATCCACCACAGTCAAGGAGTCTCAATGACCTCTAACATACCCCAGGATACACAGCGATATAACCAAACCTACACATTATACGACATGGTCTATTTTAGTATACCTCTTACTCCAGACAGTATTCCCCCATTTACCGCAATATCTTTGAGATATATGTTGATATAACTCCTATATGAAGGCAGTGACATACATAACATTGTGAGTATAGTTTGTTATTGACACCATGCTAGCGTATACCGGGAGCTCGATATGGCAACACTACCTGTACTAAGAGGGGAAACTGTTGGTATAAACCATGAAACCTACAGTGATGTCATGCTTGCTGACGTTATGTCGAGAGCCAAATTTTACTTGAAGCTGCAATTGTGGGTAGATTTTCGTGGCTTTGTTTCTTGGGGTTGTGTGTACAATATATGCCTTTATGTCTCCCTGACGAGTAAATGAGAATAATATCAGATGAAGTGTATTATGATTCCACTAAAAGAGAGAGAGAGAGAGAGAGAGAGAGAGAGAGAGAGAGAGAGAGAGAGAGAGAGAGAGAGGATGGAAAGGTAAGAATACGAGAGAGAGAGAATGTAGGAATAAACGAGAGAGAGGATGGAAAGGTAAGAATACGAGAGAGAGAGAATGTAGGAATAAACGAGAGAGAGGAAGGGAATCGCAAAAAAGTCTTCAGATATCTTTGAGAAAACCTTTACAAAACATTTCACAACAAAGTCCCGCAGGTAATATACATACGACCCAACCTAACCTAATCAGGATCCAAAATATTGTCAACCAAAACGAATATAGCGAAAATACCCCCAAAAAAGTAAAATAATAAATAAATGGCAAACAACTAAAAAATAAACAAAATTGCAAAACAAAAAAAGAAAAACAATAGCAGTTATGGAGGGAAAATCTCTTTATAAAATGCTTAAATAACAAGGGACGATAAAACAGTATAAGGTGTAAAAATAAAAAATAAAAAATACAAATATAAAATACCATACCTTCAAAAATAAAATATCAACCAGAAAAAAAAGTCTTAAAAAATAAGTGCTGGCAAGATTTACAAAAAGGATATATGAAGTTTGGATGGTGTGACACATCTTCCCGGCACCGACCTGACACAGCAGACCTCCTTCAAGTTCCCGGAAGACTTGCATGGCTGTTGGCTGTTCTTAAGTGCAGTTTTTAGCGCCTACCATCCGTCTCTATCAGCTCTCTCTCCACACACACACACACACACACACACACACACACACACTACATAAAAATCTAACATAACACATAAGTTCTCTGACTGATTGTAAATTTTATTACTGGGTCTAAAATGTTCACAGAAACACCCCCCAAAAATACGATATTTTGTGAGTTTCTGTAGAGCGAAAAAACACAAGATAGGATCACCCAGGCTGACCCGCCTTCTGTTTTTAATTAAACTCGTGTGTGACCTCTGACCTTCGTGTGTAACCTCTAACCTTTGTATATGACCTCTGACCTTCGTGTGTAACCTCTAACCTTCGTGTGCAACCTCTAACCTTTGTAAGTGACCTCTGACCTTTGTGTGACCTTTACATTTCATGAGTAACCTCTGACCCTTGTGTGTGACCGCTGACCCTTGTGTGTAACCTCTGACGCTTGTGTGTGACCTCTGGCCCTTGTGTATGACCTCTGACCTTCGTGTGTGACCTCTGATCCCTCCTGTATAACCTTCCTCTACTATGCAAGCGAGGTGTGAAGTTGGTTTTGGTTTAATCAATTGGACTAGTCGTATCAGGGAAGGTCCAGCCGTCTTATCCTTGTTGGAGCGAACGTGTGAACGAGTATATATGAACGAGAAACTGTTGCACGTGTAAATGGGATAGTGTGAACGACTACAGGGATCTGGTTAAGGGAACGTGTGCGAGAGAAACGTGTCCAAGAACGATTAGGAGCCTGTGAACGGGAACGTGTGAACGGGAAAGTGTGGACGGGAACGTGTGAAAGGAAAATTGTGGATGGGAACGTGAACATCACCAAACTAGCCTAAAGTTATTTCTTGTGTTGGTGATTTATTCTTGAAATTTGTAAAACTAAAACACACAACACACACACACACACACACACACACACACACACACACACACACACACACACACACACACACATCTAACATCTTTTCATATAAAGATGCACCAGTAATATATACCTCGCAAGGACAGTGTTACCAAAACTAAACAAACTTGTACAAACCCTTAACAAGAAAACTTTATTTTCACACACTACGTATATCTGGCAACGCCCCGGATTCTCAAAGGTTCCTATTTTAGATTAATACGAAAGAAGAAACTGTCTTTTTCCGGACTGGATTTTAATTTATTCGTGCGATATTTTACTCCTTACATTAAATTTTATATGCGTTAATTTTTTGTTGTATTTAATCTTCCCTTCTGTTAAATTTTCCCTTTCTTAAATTTTTCTTTACACCTTAAAATTTATCTGGTGTTAAATTTCCCCTTACGTTAAAATTCCCCCAACGCTAAAATTTCCCCTTCGACGTTAAATCTGTCCCTAACTAAAGTCTCCCAAAATGTATAAGCTAAATATCTCATCGACCTCTGGATCTCCATATGTTAATTCTCTCCTTTTGTAAACCTTTTATTACCAAAGTGGATTCCTAAAACTATCGTCGGCAAAAGTATTTTTTTCTTTATAATACTTAGGATCAAGGTGCATAGGATTACTGGGATAAGAAGATGAACAGGATGTGAAGGCAGGATGGTGGAAGATGGTGAGGGCAGGATGGTGAAGGAGGGAGGGAGCTGGATGGTGGAGGAGGAAGAGAGCAGGATAGTGGAGGAGGTGAGGAGCAGGGAGGCAATGTGTTATCAAGCCACTCCCATTACTTACTATGTATGTATGTATGTATGTATGTATGTATGTATGTATTTTATGTACTGTATGTACTGGCAACCAGAAAAAAAGTAAAATACATTTTCATCGAGAGTACTGTACTGTCAGCCCCACAATATGAACATAACAACACAGGACCAGCGAAAATAACTCAAATACCGAACGTGAAAAATAGAAAACTAAATTACAAGATGTGAATATATATATATATATATATATATATATATATATATATATATATATATATATATATATATATATATATATATATATATATATATATATATATATATATATATATATATATATATATATATTTGAGTGGAAGCCTCACTTCAGGAACAGTTGCTTACAAAGAAATTATGCGATGGGAATTTCATAATATTGACTAAAATTAAATACTGCGCCTTAATAGAAGATCTCAAAGTAACGTCGATGCAACATGTAAATCTATTCGACAATAAAACCTCCTCAGTCACGATGGAAGTGTGGTGATGGAGAGAAGTTAATCTGTAAACCCAAAGATACAGCTCAAGAAACTCTATATTTTGCTCACATTGTTACTGGACATGGTGATAGAGACAAAATGATTAAAACTTTGAGTAAATATGCAAGTGTGACTGTACAGCTGTTAGCATCGATGTGCACTGAATGTAATTTTTTTTTCAAGTGAATTACCACCAAGGGCGTTGTTGTTAAACCAATTTCGACAAAGGACTTTGGATCACGAGCCCGGGTTAACCTCGTTGACACGGAGTCATGTGCGAAAAGGCAATACAGTATAATAAATCATGGTATACCAAGTCCATGTTAATAAACACTGTGTATTATGGCAGCTAAGGTTGTATTTTAACTTATTGACATATTGTTAATGCAGAGTAATAATGTTTGTGACTTTAGAGCAGTCACCATAACAGAACTTCCAGATGGTTCACCCACGGTTGTGTCACCTCCAGATGGTTCACCCACGGTTGTGTCACCTCCAGATGGTTCACCCACGGTTGTGTCACCTCCAGATGGTTCACCCACGGTTGTGTCACCTCCAGATGGTTCACCCACGGTTGTGTCACCTCCAGATGGTTCACTCACGGTTGTGTCACCTCCAGATGGTTCACCCACGGTTGTGTCACCTCCAGATGGTTCACCCACGGTTGTGTCACCTCCAGATGGTTCACCCACGGTTGTGTCACCTCCAGATGGTTCACCCACGGTTTTGTCACCTCCAGATTGTTCACCCACGGTTATGTCACCTTCAGAAGAGCCTCAAGTCTTACACAAAAACATTAAACTTCAACAAACACGAGCAACATAAATGGTCATATAACACAGGCTGGTGCATCACGCCTGCCCCTGGTAACCCTTATAATGGTTCCCGTCCCACTGGTAGATCAAGGTCAAGGAGACACACGTAATATTTCGGGTGTTACTATCAATCGTCAAGAAAACAGTTATTGTCGAATATCTGGTAAATCAGGAGTTTTAAAGGGAAGCTACAGCAGAACTCAGCAGTTATTTAGCCTACATGACCTATGCGAAAACAAGGAAGTAGGTCTTCGTCAGGTGATGTAAGATATATCTATCTTAGTTGGTCCTGGTTATGTTAAGTGTAACTGTAGCGTCAGTGTTAAGCAATGCTCAACAACCCGGTGCATATATCATAAATCTGATCTCATGTGCCACAGCAGACGCCACTCACGTCTGACATGTGGAAATAATAAAAACTAAATCAATCATTTACAATATTTGCGACGTGGTATATACAATGCCGTGATATATCTGTATTGAAACCCAAGTCATTTATTACTTCATGACCTTCCCTACATAATGACAGAATACACAGCTTATAATAACATACAGGTACAGCAGTAACTAGAATAAAAAAAACAAGCAGGAGAAGACAAAAAGGTGATTATAAAACACAGACATATAGTTACATAAAAGAAATACGATAAAGAAGAGAAAAAGTATAATATAGAGATGAAGAAAGAAACATGAAGAATGTACTAAGCGGATTGGTCAGAAGCAACAACAAACTCTTGGCGTCTAAATCTTCACTTTTAAATGTAAACGAGAGAGAGAGAGAGAGAGAGAGAGAGAGAGAGAGAGAGTTAACACACACATCCTTCATCTTGATGGTATAAATAAAGTCATTAATCATCGTTTTGAGATAATGTCTTAATTATTGACAAATGTAGTCCTCCCCCTCCTCTTCCCTCCCTTACTTCTCCTCCTTCCCTCTTGTCTCCTCTCCTCCCCTTAACCCCTCTCTACCCCTTGTCTCCTTCCTCTCACTTCTCTCCCATTGTCTCCTCTCCTGTCTTCCTCTCTCTCCTCTCCTCCTTTTGCTTCTCTTGTCTTGCACTCCTCTTTTGTCCTCTTCTCCTTTGTTTCTCACTCTTACCATCACCACCTCTCTTTTTTCCTCTCCCTTGTCACCTATATCTCTTTTCCGCTTCTCTCTCCCTCCCTTCCCTTGTCTCTCCCTCCCTCCCTCTCACCACCTGGCCGCGCTGGGAGAGCCAAGACAAACACAGAGACAAGCAACACTTAGTTTTCAGTTGCTCGCGACTTGACAAACACCTTCAACAAACAAACAAACAAACAATTTGTTCTCTTAATTATCGCTTTGAATAATTGAGTTAAGGAAAGAAATAAATCTACATAAATAAGTAGATTTAGTTATATAAACAAACAGATATATGGCCACTAATATGTCAGTATTAGTATCAGTATAATATAATGGTTCGGTGTTTAAATTTGGGAGGTTCACAGATAAAGGAATTATATATATTTTAGATAAACTGAAAATATGTCGTGATAGCTTATTTCACCTGATGTTTAACCACCCTAAGGTATTTGTGGAGTTAGGTTAGGTTAGGGAAGTTATTATGAAGGTGTAATAAGTTAGGGGCTAATCTTCAGGTGATCCTATGATTTTTTGTGATTCATACAAGCCTCCTACAGGTAGAGTGTTGGGTGGCCTGCTGACACTAAGCTGTTGATTCTTTACTGTTCAGCAGGTACTGGGTTACTCCTCCAGCTTAGTCCACCCAAAGCTTCTGTCTATTGTTTAATGTTTATATATACGAGTATATTTATTAACACTCAAAATCATAGACCCAGGTGAAACGAATCCTCATTTAGGAGTGTATACACTGAATAACTACTGTGACTACTACTACTACTACTACTACTACTACTACTACTACTACTACTACTACTACTACTACTTCTACTACTACTAATAATAGCTGTAAATCATGATACCTTTCTTCATAAGATAGAGAGGAAGTATTCATTAAAATTACATTTAAATTAACATCTGCAATTATTTACCCACAGCTGTTTCTCCCTAGAGAGAGAGAGAGAGAGAGAGAGAGAGAGGTGTCACCCATAATGACAGCCACTTGGTGACAGCTTGGTGTGTGTGTGTGTGTGTACCCTACCTTACTGTACTTAATAAACACCTGCATAAACTTTCATGATGTGACCAAATACCTGTATACGTCTGAAGGTCTTACTTAAGGGCAGATTCATGTAAAGATCTTATTTTAGGGAATAATAATTTTAAGATCTTATTTTTAGGAATATTTAAGTAAAGGTCTTCCGGAATATTTAAGTAAAGGTCTTCCGGAATATAACTGAAATGAATATCTTTCTCGCGGGAAATAGTCATAGTAAGTAGTAATAGTAAACTACAGTCGGCCTAAATGGTAAATATATAAGAGTAATTTTAAAGTGTTGTAGTAAATAGTAAGTACAAAAAAATAATGATAACAGGTAAATAGTAAAAAAAATAATAGTATTACTAACAAAATGTAAATAGTTACTGATAAATATAAAATATTAAATGATAAATACGAAAAATAAGCATTAAAAATAAATAGTAAATAATGAATAATAAATAGCAGCTAGTAAACAGTAAATGATTATTTAAGTAGTCGGCTCAGGTTTCTATACAGTAATTTTAATCATTGGTTCATGATCTAATAGCCGAAATAATTACGTATCCTACCTACCTCTACATTGCCCCCTCCCCCCTTACCCTTCTCCTCACTCCCCCTCCCATTCTTCCCCTTCCTCTATCTTTCCTCTCCCCATCCCACCCCTTCCTCCTGCCCCCCCTCCCCCGTCTACAGTGCAGTCTCCTTGGGGGGAATATCCCTTTAGAGACAATATTATGTAAATAGATATTTCTGAAATGAAGATCTGGGTTAAAATATTTGTTTTAACGAGTATTTCTTAAACGAAGATCTGACCTGAAAGAACATTACTAGCAAAAACATCATCTACTATCTAATAGCATCACTAGCATCACTAGCATCAAATTTATCACCAATCGAGAAATAAATAAACTCTCACTCGGGGTTTCAAAACGACTCAAAACTCACAGTTGAGTCAAAATGATGAAAAATAGTAAATTACAAATCTCTCTCAATCTCTTTCCGCAAATTGGCCATCCGCCCGAGAATTTACACTAGTTTTAATGTCGGTAAATGCCTCTTAACAACCCCAGGCAACATCTCACAAAAGCTTATTAAAATCTGCGAGACGTTAAGAGGAGAGGGGGCAGAGGAAAGGAGGGGGAGGAGGAGGAGGAGGAGGAGGAGAAAGATAAAGAGGAGGAGAAGGAGGAGTATGGGGAAGAAGAGGAAGAGGAGGAGGAGGAGGAGGAGGAAGAAAAAGTAGAGGAAGAAGAAAAGAAAGAGGAATGGGGAGGACAAAAAAGACGAAGAAGATATGTAGAATGAAGAGGAGAATAACAAAGAAGAGGATGAAGAAGGAGAAGAGGAGGAGGAGGAGGAGGAGGAGGAGGAGGTCTTCATTTAGTCCCGTACCACCTCTTGGTTCTGTGGCGTGAGCTGTAAGCCATCAGTTTGGTGCAAATGGTTCATTAGAACAGTCAAGATGCCTCATATATTGTACAAATGTTTGCATTAATTGACATTGGTAGATCACAAGATTTCTAACACAGTGTGCGTGTGTAAGGAGGATGTACTTCAAACACAGTGTGTGTAGAGACAGGGTATACTGCATACATGGTGTGTGTAGAGGGGGGAAGTACATAATAGTGTGTGTAGAGGGGGGAAGTACTTAATAGTGTGTGTAGAGGGAGGAAGTACTTAATAGTGTGTGTAGAGGGGGGGAGTACTTAATAGTGTGTGTAGAGGGGGGAAGTACTTAATAGTGTGTGTAGAGGGGGGAAGTAACTTAAACATAGTGTGTAGAGGGAGGAAGCAGAGCCATACTTTTGGATTCATGACGTGAGGTCTTCTTTGTCTTGTCGAACAAACACTTCATGTTAGTGACATATTAGTAACATTTGTCTTTGATTCGAGTAAATGTTTCATAAGAGGAAATAAATACCTCATCGCACCTGGGAAAAAAAAACTACGGTAAACAATAGATCAGATGGTTTATACAGGACAAAAATGTGTTCTCTCAGGTTGAGTAAATGAAATCCACTGCCAGAACTTGCAAACACCTCAGGTAGATAAATGCTTCACTTAATCGAGCCACTGAGTCACAGGCAGAAGACAGAACGTGATAATTTGATTCGAACCAATACTTCAGCAGATCAACGAGACGAGTCATTACACCTGGTAGAAACTTTATTTAACCAAGACTGTTGGCTCTCATCTGGGTGTGGCCAAACTGCTTCCTCAGCTTAAGTTAATACTTACTTTATAAGAGCTATAAGAGACCTCATAGATCGAATAAATGTTTTGTTTACTGAAACTAATGAGTAACACAACTGACTTAGAGCTCCACATTATTTCCTCAATATTCCTTCAAGTAGAGTAAATGCTTCGTGAGGTCATTGAAATTCTTCACCTCGTCAAGGAAAATTTTAATTCGATACAATGACTCATGAAAATGAAAGTGGATCTACAGGGACACAAGGAGGCAGCTTGACCGGCAGTACATTCGGTCGCCTTCACTTTCCCAACTGTAAAGTTAGGTACCCATATACAGCTTCAGGGGTGGACTGGGAATGCCCCGGAATCGAACCAGCGACCCTTACGACAGGAGGCGAGCACCACTCCCCACAATGGCTCATACCTTTTAGTAACTGATCTGTCGGGGCTATAAAATGCTCCTGTAATTCGAACAAATGTTTCATAAAGCTATTGACACACGTCATCGTATCCAGCGAGTGATTCATTAAGTGTAAATGAGTTATGTGGAGGTCAGGTAATGGGCATTCAATTTAGGCAAATGGTCCATAAGACAATAGCAAAACTTCATA